AATCTTGTGTACAAATAAGAGCCTTCACCGTCTTAGGAGTGAGGAAGCTACGAAATGGATCTAATACATGACTCCAGTGCTAAACGCTGACTCAGATGCAATAGTAGTAACTGACATAGACAACACCTCTCGTGTTATCGAAGAGAGAACTGGATATCTATTTAAATTGATTTTCCATCAACTCAAGATATCAAACAACTTGTCCTTGTGATGCTGCTCACATTCATCCTCTAAATATTTATCCATCTTAGATTTGGTCACCATAACTTCCTGTCCAGCCATTGCCTCATCGTACATACAATACATTAATTCTTCAGGATCAACATTTACATCTTCAACATTAACCTTACTTGCTTGTTGAGATTGTTGACTAGATTGCCCACTTGAAGAAGTATAAATGAGCTTGTATTGGTGAAATAAATAGTACAAAATTGTATGCACTTTTGTCTTCAAAAGTTCAGCATTAACATCATCATAGGATTTACTAATAATCCAATTCACATATCCTAACTTGAATCTAGGATCCAACTGTTAGTGCATGCCCTAGGAACCAATCGTGTCGTTAGTTCCAAGGCATTATGTTATATATATATATATATGTTAATGTATATATTTTGTATATACATTTTATCTGATCAATAGAAGAAAGTGTTCTTATTTCACATATGGTTTATTGCTTCATTTATATATATGTATTACATGTGAAATATCCGGATGATACAAATCTTTAGAAGATCAAAATCATCAAAGTATTCCTTACATAGGTAATATTAATTGGTCAATAATATTACATAATAGGCATGATGAATGCCTCTGTAGAATATCATGTGATGGTATTAGTGTGGGTGATTATAAAAGTTATATCACTAAGGCATTAGCATGGATACGGGGTTAGTGAATTGTTTATTGAATATGACCATTTATGATGAATCACATGGACATTTAAAATATAGTTAATGATTTATCATAAGATCGTACTAGTGTATTATTAATCCTTAGACCTGAGATATCACGGTTGAATTCTGCATAAACACATATGGTTCATATGGTGTATAAACACGAGGCTAATCATGCCATGTGTTAATAAGCCAATTTGGCCATGTGTTGTTTATGTGTGAGGACAAGTGATAGTCAAGATGGGATCCGTTGACTTGGTATAGATTGATATCAAGTTCCTAGACAAATGTCAAAATAGATTGGAAAAGGGAAATCTCCGGCCGGGGTATATAAAATGTTACATGAAAGGTTGTTTCATGGTGACACGTTCCATATGTATTGAATTAAAATTAAGATAAGGATTTTGACATACCATGAATCCATTCTTAATTGGGATTAGACAACGGAAGGATTTGATTATACAACGTGTATGACAACTAGTACCACTTTTACTTGGACATGCAAGCACATTCCCACAATAATCACACGTTGCCGTGCTATTATCCATATTCTCACAAGGATTTACAATAAAGTGATCCCACATGTCAGAAGTATTCTTTCAAGTATTAGAATTTACATGTTTGGGGACTCGTGGTGGTCCTGATCATGGATCAGGATTCGTAGAAGGATGTAGGGCTACCAATGAGTTTGGAGTTGGATTCCTACTAGTTGGTGTCTCAGGACTCTCATCAGTATTATAATGGTCAATAGCCATGAGATTGGATTTGGACATCTGCAACATCAACAAGAAGAAATATGTGAAAATGATTAAAATTAAAGACTAAGATAATAAATATATAAACAAATAAACAATCCAATCAAAGTATCTTACAACCTCTTATCTCTATCTTAAAAAAAAATGTAACTTATTTATTCAATTATGTATATCAAAGACACATGCCCTACAATTGAAAAAATGAATTTGAGTTTTCCCCCAAAACTGTAAGAGAACTGGTGGGATTGAGATCTTTTATAGTTGGGTCCAAATTCAAAAAGTATATAAAATAGGGATATCGATTGGACCAATCTTAGGAGTTAAACTAATAGGTGGCTTGAATAGAAAGTCCAACACGTTTACTTTTATATTATCTTAATGGACAAGTACACCATTTTGTTTTCCTTGCACTTTCATTTTCAAAACTGCAAAATTATTTCCTTGTTTGGACCTTTATTTTGATTCTTTTCTTCCCACTATCTTCATTTCATTACTAAATTTATTCATATATCAAATCTGACGCCAATTACCAACACGAGAACGTGATTTAAAGCATTACAAACACAACTTTACAACCGCACAAAACAGAGTGAGATAGCTTTGAATTCTACTCAATAAGGGATATATTGACAGAGTATTATAATAAATTTTTTTCCCATACTATGTTTCCAGATTTTTGTTTGCATAAGGCAAGGGCATTTAGGGTAGTGGAATGAGAGAAGCGTGTGGAGTTGATGATTCTTGAATGATCTAGAAAACTTTTTGACAATCAATAATACAATTATAGAGCAACATGTAAGAAAAAGCCTACACTAGATCGATACATGATCGATGGAAGAAGAAAACAAATGGAAGAAAATGATGAAGCTGCTGCCTGCTGGTGCTGGAAGAAGACAACGAAGCTGCTGCCTGCTGGAAGAGAAGGACGAAGTTGCTGGAGCTGGAAGAAGACAAAGAAGCTTCCACCTGCCGGAAGAAAATGGCGAAGCTGCCCAAGCTGGAAGAAGACGACGAAGCTGCCACCTATTCGAAGAAAATGACAAAGCTGTTGCCCGCTGGAGTTGGAAGAAGATGACGAAGTTGCTGGAGCTGGAAGAAAGATGATGATATCGGGAATTTGGGAACTGAGAGTGAGAAGGGATATTGGGAATTTGGGTTGGGATTTTAGATTTAGTGAATTTTTTGAACACCCTTAGTGATTTGTGGTTAAGGAAAACCAAAGGATGTTGAGGAAGACAAACAATCGTTGGGCAGACAAATACTCGCGACATATTTTGATGAGATAATGGTGAATAGGCTTGCAGGAAGGTAGATTGGAGCTGGGGGAAGTCGAATCGGCAGCTAGTGAGGTGGATTATCATAAAAAAAAAATGAAGGAAACACGTTGGAAGATTAAACATCGCCGATGGTGGGAAGATGAACGTCGTGGTGACCAAATGACAATGGAAGATGTTGGTCGGTAGCTCTTGTTGATGGGATGAAGAAATCGATATTTGGGGTGTCCAACCGTCACTAGAGTTTGCTGGATAATGGGGATGAAGGTTTAGGGCTCGAGTGAGCAGTGACTTTTGGTGAGATGACGATGACTCTTCATGAAACGACGACGAGGGAACTTAGGTGAAGGTGAAATTGTCGACCGACATGGGAAGATGAATAGTCGATTGGCTAGTCGGTGGCAGCTTAGGGTTTTGTGGTCTACAATTGCCATTTACACGACCTTTGGCTTTCCTTTTATAGCAAATCTGGCAAACGTTAGTTTGCTCCCAACACAAAAAAAAAAGTGACAAAATCAACACCAAACGTAAATATCAATTTGACCCTGAACAACACAAAAGAGACAAAATTAACCCTAATTAGTAAATCACACCCTAATATCAACTTAATCCCAAATTTCAATCCAAGCATGCAAAATTGTAAGAAAAATTTAGAATGTGATTTCCATGAATAATTTTACAAGTTCCTTTACTGTCTCAAAACAATCTAATTTTAAGTACAAATGGAGTATTTTAATCACTTTAGTAGAGTCATTTTCATGACTCTTAACACATATCTCCTTATCACCCTTCAAATTAACTTTCATTTTATTGTCTCACTTCTTTTTTTTCTTTCTAAAGTTCCAAATAAATTTTTCTATCTTCAATATTTTTCTCTCAATATATATTCTATAAACTACACCAACAAAATATTATTACTTACCATACTGTATTTGTTTTAATATATAAGAGTCTTTGACTTTTTTACAATATGCTTTTTACAAAACTATTAGAAAATAATAATGTTTTGTTTATATAACTTTATAACTGAGTTATATAAACAGACAAAAAATGCATAAAAATTATGTATTATGACTATTATGTCCTTTGTTTTTTATCTGTTTGTATGATTCAGTTGTATAACTGAGTTGTAAGTATAACATTGCTCATTAGAAAATAATTGAACTTGAAAGCTCTTTCTTAAGGTCATTTGACATTAAAATGTTTTCAATAAAATGTTTCAAGTTTTCGTATATTCAAAAATTCTGAAAAAAAAAAAAAAGAAGTTATAAACTATTTCCTTTTAAAAAAAAGCTATCAAGTATTTTCAAAAAAATATCAGCGAAGTCATCTCTCTCTCTCTCTCTCTCTCTCTCTCTCTCTCTCTTTTAATACCAGAGATTTCTTTTAGATTTTATCAAATAAACTTTTTGTTTTGTTTTTTGTTCTTTTTCTAAATTTAGTCAATTTGGCTCGAAACTCCCAATAAATTTCTTAGAATTGCTTACAAGTCTTGGTCAGACCTACAAGTTGAGCTACGCAACGCGAACAAGAAGACTCGAGAACTGTTTACAAGTCTTGAGTCTCGGTCAACCAATACTTAAATGACAAAAACGACAGAAGGATCATGCATGCTACATATATTACTCTGTCCTATAAAGTAATTAATATCTAATCATAGGAAGTAGATTTAAAAAAGATTTGAGAGAAAGATCATGCATGCTACATATATTAATTAATTTTTCAAGTCTTGTCAAAATATTTCAATTAAGTTTACATTAACAAATGATCTTCATCATATATATTTATATGAGACTGTCACCTAAGAAGAGTAAAATTTACATCATTTGACGGGAAGAATTTGAATAAACATTTGAGAATTGTAGTATCAATCACAAATAATAGTCTTTCCTATGCGATATTGAACAAAGAACAACTTTAAATATCAAGCACAATTTTGTTATTGATTTAAATGATCACAAAATTTAACAGTGTATGTACTCAAGATACATACGCATTAACGACTAAGCTCTGAAATGAAAATGCTCAGAAACTAATGATTAATGGTCCTGAAACACTTGAAATTAGCCTTATCGTCACCAAGGTGAAACACTTGAAAGAGTTACCTCATTAGTGGAGGAAACTTTAATATCTGATGAAGATTGAGCTAAATTCACAACTCTACCAACGGAAAATGCAGGTTCAGATGGTTTAGGAAGTGTAATTGTATCACTGCCCAACATAACTCCTAGAGATGACATGATAGGCCTGTTTGTTGGATCTTCTTGAACGCACAACAATCCAATATGTATATATTTCAATAGTTCAACCGGAACACACGATTCCACCAAAACTGGATCCATCAGCTCTAATGCATGTTCTTCGCACCACAGTTTCCATGCCTGATATATTATTCATGATATAAACTGTTAACAAAGATTATTGGTGTATAATTCGTTTAAACTAAATCATTGTTCATATTAAATATTGAGATAGGGATATACATAAGGAGGTTTTGACCATGTTTCGAAAGATAAAATCCACTTTTCTTTTTCCCGCTTACAATCTCGAGTAGAATTAGCTTCATTTTGATTTCCACCAAATATTCTGGCCATTCCAAAGTCTGATATTCTAAGGTTCATCTCAAAATCTAACAAAACATTACTAGCTTTAAGATCTCGATGAATAGCTCTAAGTGAAGAATTCTTGTGCAAATATAATAGACTTCGTGCAATTCCATTAATGATACTCCTACGACTTTTCCAATCCAGTTCTGAGCTCTTAGTTGAATCTGAAAATAAAATATACATAATTTCGAACATGACTTCCCATTAAACAGTTATAGCTAGCATTAGAAATTTTGAGATACGAAACAAAGAGGAGGGAATCAAGGCTTTTGTTAGGCATATATTCATAGATAAGCATCGACTCATTCCCCTCTAAGCAGCAACCCAAAAGTGTCACAAGATTTTTTTGTTGTAATTTGGAAATTAAAGTAACTTCATTTTTTAACTCCTTTATCCCTTGCCCATAAGTTCTTGAAAATTTGAGGTGGGCCTCACTCCTCACCCAATAAGACCTTATTGAATGGGAGGATTCCACACCGATATTCCCTCTCACGGTTAAGCTCATATATTGGGTCATGCCTGTTATTGGAGGCAGTTGTCGGCTCTAACTCCTCACCCGCTGGTCAAATACTCAGCTTGACTGAACCTGGACTCTGATACTATGATAGAATTTGAGGTGAGCCTCACTCCTCATCCAATAAGGCCTTGTTGAATGGGAGAATTACCCTCTCTTATAAACCAATAGGCTTGAGCATACCTAATCGATGTGAGACTCCAACAGTTTAATAGCTTTTTGTTATAACAATTAAGAAAAAATAAAAAAAAATTGGCTGCTGTGATGAAAATGGATCCTCAAATATAACTCTGTCTACAAAATAACATTATAATAAACATTAAATAATAAGGAAACCCTAACAAATAACATAATATAAAATGACTAAAATAACCTAGTTTAGTTTAAAAATCCTAAAAATTGAGGGAGTGTTTTTGGTCAATAGTAATTAGTTATACTTATTCGTTAAAATAGAGTGATCAACATTTGTGGACATCAAGATGACAATTCAGCCATTCAAGTACGTTATGTAATACATTGGTTAAATATATTAAAGTCTCTTCACCAAATTGATATTAATTTTACCTTGTAAACAGGGCCGAACCCACCTTCTCCGAGCTTATTTTCATCAGAAAAATTCTCTGTGGCCTCAAGTATGATGCCAAACGAAAACAGAGGGAACTCTTGAGATTCCAACTGTTCTCCTTGTAATATCATATCATATGAATAATCACCTCCAACTCTGCCCTCTCCCAAGCGAAGTAATTGAACTTCATGATCACTGGTTGATTTCTCCTCTGCACGGCACACTTAATTTACCTTAACTAGAAAAAAACAGGGGAGGAGTAATCCTTTAATGTTACCTAAACTTTTGAAAATCTTATGACATGTACATGATCAAAAGAAATCTAGCTTTCCTAAAGAGTAAGCATAGACAACTTTAGTTTCTTCTATTTACTGTTAAAATGCTGTTTTATTCTTCCTTTTCCTGAATTCTGTATGAATTTGTGACAATCTTTTGGATCTGAATTGTTATTGCAAACCAGTATTACATTATTGTACGCTATTGGCACTTTGGCAGCGTTTTCTATGGCCGAGAAAGACAAAGCAAATGGACAAGAAAGGACAGAGGAAAAAATATAGAAAGAAGTTTTATGATGAACTTTGCTCTGCAACAAAAAATTTCTTCCTTTGAATAGTTAAATCTTTAAAGGAAGAAAAATAATGACGATGAGGGGATAACATGTTACATTACTGTTTATGCCTTAGGGTTGATAATTATTAAAAACTTTGACGATACTATTTAACACCAAATGCAACAATCATTATGTGATTAATTATTTCAGAGACATTCCGTACATATAATATAATATAATGCTATATATAACAAGATGTTCAAAAGCTTAGGTGAAATAAAATGAAGATATAAATCAATTACCTTTGTGTCTTTTGTTTCTTCTCCACAGAAGGAAAGAGCCAAGCAGCAGTACTACTATAATTGCTGATCCTGTCGCGCCAATTGCAATCCATAGTGTTTTTCTTCCTTCCAAATTGAAATATCTTAAAATTTATTTAAAAATCTATGATTATGATATCATGCCCGAGTATTTAAAGGTTGTAAATTTGAGAACAATGCAAAAACTAAACTAAAATAAAATAAAAGATAATAAATCATGATCATGAAATAAATTGTAAGTAAAAGATGTTTTCATTATATCTCGCCAGAGGCTTACCTCTCCTTTTTATTGCCTTAATATCACCAAGGGCGGACCCAGGCCATTTGAGAGTAGGCCTGGGCCTACCCTCAAATGAGTAAATAAAAATTTAAAAATTTTTACTTTTAATTTTATGGGATAACCAAATAATGTGTGAAGAATCCAAGAACAGAGGGCATTTTTATTTTTCACTACCATATTTTATGCAACAAAAACCACCGCAACTTTAATGATGCAAAAATGCCTCTGCAATACACCATCTCTTCCTCTTAACTCAGAAGCTTTTGCAGAAACAATTTAAGTACTCATTCCTAGTAATGATGTCCTTTGAAATTTAGTAAAAACATTTAACTTTGACAAGAATTTTCATAAGTTTTACAGATTATCATAAAGTTGTCCTAAAATTCATCAAGAGTAAACTTTATAATATTAATCAAAACCCACTTCTACAAATGACCTTTACCAATTTTTTGAAATTAAAAAAAAAAAAAAGGCAAAAACTTATATAGATAATTGAAAGAATGAATCATTCATTCAAAACCAATAATTGTCAATTTTGTGCAACTATACAAGACATAACCTTTGAACATAAACTCACGCTCGCTCTTCTCTTCAACTTCAACCTCTAAATTCTAAGGTATTCACTTTTTTCAATTGTTTCTTGCATGTTTGGTTACCGAGAAAATGAGGTTGATTTTTCCACTTTTTTCTTTTAATATGTTATTTTATTTTATTTTTTTGCTCTGAATTCTTAGTTATTTTTCGTTTAACTGTGTTTCCTTGATGAGAAAATGAGGCAAAGTTTTGTTCATTATTATTTTTTTCACTGTCTTTATCTTTCGTAATTTTCTCTAAATTCTATAGTTTTTATTTTATTTTATTAAGCTATTTTTAGTATGTTAGGTTGATGAGAAAATGATGCTAAGTTTTGTTCATTTTTTTGACAGTTTTTTTGTCTTGTATTTTGCTCTGAATACTATGGTTTGTTTATTTTAATTTATTAAGGTGTTTTTAGTTCGTTAGATTGATGAGAAAATGAGGCAAACTTTTATGGTTTTTTTACCTCCTTTTCGTTTAGTAATATTGCTCTAAATTCTAATTTTTTTATTTAAGTATATTTTTTGTAATATGTTTGGCTGATGAGTAAATGAGGCAAAGTTTTGCTAAATTTTTAATCTCGATGGTTGAGTTTTGATTTTAATAGTTGGATTTGGAGTTATAAGCTTAAAGTTTGACTACTTCTTTGGTGATTTTAATTTATTTCTTTATAAACATTTATGTATTTTACTTGTGTTAGAGTTGTGATTGGACTTTAAATTTGTATAAAATATTTTTGGTAGATTGTGATTGCTGTGAACTCTTTTGATTATATTAGATTTAAGTGGATTGCTAGATTCTTATGATTTTTTGCTTTCTTCGCATTTAAGAGATTTTTCCACATCAAAATTTTCTTGTGTTTCCTTGTGAGTTGGATGTGATTTTACATATTTGCTTTCAAGGTTTTGCTTCTCGTAGATTTATTTAAGTAGGAAAATAATGTGTTATTGCATCATTTTCTTTCAGCTTCTTGATATTGTATTATCTTCTTTGCTTAAGGTTTGATGATTTTTTTTAAGTTTTCAATAGTTGGTTAACAAACAACGGCGGAACCGCGGAGGCCCCTCCTCAGCAAAAATCTTGGGTCCGCCACTGATTATATCACCCAGGATTTTGCACAGACTTGAAACGATATTAATCAATCAATTAATTAGTTTAACTGGCTGGATCTCAGCCGTAAACTGTATTCTAGCTTTACCGTTGGAAGCAGGTGGAAGTGTAGACAGAAGCGTAGGTGCCAGTGGTGATGCCGATATCGGTGGTTCGGCTCCATTATAGAACGGGTACAGTTCGTATCGCAAATTACAACACTCTTGCTCCTACAGTTAAACAAAACGATGGAAACGAACCCAACCTTGCCATAGCTTCTTGAAGACATCTATAGCAATCAATAATTGACAAGTCCTGTGTGCACTGCACTAGACCATACAGTGTCTGAGACCCTGTCAAATTAACCTTTCTGGTTGCAAACATTTTAGAAGTGTTTACAGCCTCATTCTTAGTTTCGTTCATCAAACTATTCACCAGCTGACCAATCTCGCCTGTGCCTGTAAAATTTTGTGTATTCCACATTAAAAATCTGGTTCTCGTGCTCACGTTAGAAAAGAATGACTCGTTTGAGTAGCGGAAAAGGCACTCATCGTACCATATAATGCTTTCTCCAACAGGACAAAGCTCAGTCAAATTTTTGGTTGCCAAACTGACGGAGCGTTGGCAGGTGTCCTTATCGACATCGCCACGGCAAAGAAAGAAAGCATACAACTGGTTAGGGTCTTCGCCTGTGGTGGCGTTGTGGAAACCGTTGGAATATTTATCGCTGAGATAAGCGTCTATGGTAAGAGAAGCCAAGAAATAATTGAGGTTTGTTTGAAGGATGATGTTCCCTATGGAAGTGGTGTTTGGGCAAGCATGGTAAAGATATGTTGGAGCTGCTCTTAGGAAACTCAGCAAGCTCAGAAGAGAGAGGAACACAAGTATCATATTCATTAGAAAGAGATTTTTTATTCTAAGTCTTTTGTTGCTCAACAGAATATATATGGAGAGAAAGGGTGATACTAACATAATATTACAATCATATTTAACATAAAGATAGATAAGAAATAAAAATATAGAAATTGGTAAATTAGTACTACAATAAAACTACACTTATAACTTTTTTATATAATATTTTTATACAATCATAAAGTAATAGCTCGCGATTAGTTAGTTTGTATTTAAACAAATAGAATTTACTACAAATTGACCAATCGCAAACTATCATATGAGAATTGTATAAAAAAAATTGTAAATGAAGTGTCACGCTTAATATTAATAATATCTCGTACCAAAATCTCCCTCAAATCTATTGGATTATTTATTGGCTTCGTTTGGTTCAAAATTTGGGGGTTTTGGGAAAAGTTTTTTGAAAAAAGTTAAAAAAAAGTTGAATTGGACGGGTATTACGATGTAGGATTTATAAATTAATAAAATACCCCATATATTTGTTTTTTTACAAAATACCCCCTATAATAAAACATTAAAAGTCCACAAAAAGACCCCTAACCCACCCTCAAACACCCCCAGTCGGCCACCACCACCGGAGGTGGCCGGAGTCACCTTATGGGCGCATGACCGGCTGGATCTTGCCGGTCATGAGCCGATATGGCATTTGCTGGCCAGATCCACTGGATCTTGCCGGTCATGCGCCGATATGGCCTTTTCTGGCCAGATCCACGGTGGATCTGGCTGGCAAAGGCCAGATCTGGCCGTCAACCGCCAGATCTGGCCGTATTTGCTCTCAACGACGGCCAACAAACGGTCGTCGTTGATGGTCAACGACGACCGTTTGTTGGCCGTCGTGACCGAGTGTTACGGCCAAAGATCTGGCCGTATCTACGGTCAGATCTGGCCGTCAACGGCCAGATCTGGCCGTATTTGCTCTCAACGACGGCCAACAAACGGTCGTCGTTGATGGTCAACGACGACCGTTTGTTGGCCGTCGTGACCGACTGTTACGGCCAAAGATCTGGCCATCAACGGCCAGATCTTTAGCCTTAGATCTGGCATTTTCCGGCCAGATCCACCGGAAAAGGCTAGATCGGTACACTACCGACCAGATTCAACCGGTAGTTCGCCATCCTACCAGATTCCGGCCATTTTCCGACGGTGGTGGCCGGAATCTGGTAAATGTGGATTATTGGGGTGTTTTTATAATTTTAAAAAAAATATTTAGGGGTATTTAATTAAATTAACAAATTTAGAGGGTTTAAAAAAATTGAATAATTTTGAAAATAGTATTCCCAAAAATGAGAGTTTTTGGGTATTTTACTGTTTAATTTTTTTGGGAATACTAAGAGTAGTATTTCCAATCTTGAACCAAACGAAGCCATTAGGCTCCGTTTGGTTCATTTTTTAACACTTTTGAAAAAAGTTAAAAAAAAGTTGAATTGACCGGGTATTATGATGTAAGATTTGAAAATTAATACAATACCTCCTATGTTTATTTATTTACTAAACACCCCTATAATAAAACATTAAAAGTTAACAAAAACACTCCTAACCCACCCATTAAATATGGACAGCAGGCCACTACCACCGAAGGATGGTCGGAGTGTTTTCGTAATTTAAAAAAAAGATATTTAAGGGTGTTTAATTAAATTAATAAATTTAAGAAGTTTAAAAAAAATTAAAAAATATATAATAATATTTTAAGAATAATAATATTTTACTATTTAATTTTTTTGAGAATACTAATAATAGTTTTTCCAAAAAGCGAAATAAATAAAGCCTAAAATCATCGGACAATGTTGCATCAATGGTCAGTTTCGTGCTATGAATTTGTTTTAAAATTTTAAATTGAAATGACTTCAGACCTTTGTATTTGTACAGTATATATATGATGTAGAAAGAGATAGGGAGTATTGTCTTGGAAGACGAGACTCTATTATTGCGCTAGTCAACGAAGCAAAGTCCAGTCAAATTTGGTATTCTTGTCCCTTGTGGAAAAAGGAAAAGAACGTCTCATCATTCATCAATTTAATTTAATTTGTGGAAAATTAAAACAAAGCAAAGAAATTTCTCAATAGGTTAATTAATTTTTCAAGGAATAAGCAGGTCCACACACTTGGCATGATGATGTGGACCATTTTGTTTGACCAGATTCTGTGGCCGTTTGATTGGTTCGCCAACTTAAATCACCATGTGGTAGTTAATCGAATAAATTTCACAAAGGCATGTTTGAAGATGGCAGTGCCCAGATTATTAAAATTCAAAACAATTAAATTAACCTATAATGGGCAAAGAAGGTAATAGAACCATGGTTGTCAAACTCGTGTATATTAAAAATCTAATTTTTTAAATTATGTATTACATATCATATTATATTATAGGATACGCCTTTTTCAAAAAAATTAATAAAATAATATAATTTTTCTAAAAATTAATATCATCCCATGATTAATTAACAAATTTTGTGGTATTACTGACTTTAAATTATGGTATTACATAATTAAAATTAATCACAAAATTAAGAATTTATATCATTTCCTCTCAACCATTCATATCATTTCCAAGATCAATGTTAATATCTATAACTCCACTTGTGTTATTATTATCATATAAAATGGGTAACACATCTTTTTTTTCACATTTTTCATGTAAAATAGGTAAACTTGGGAAGGTTTTAGTGAACCGGGTTCGGTGACTCGAATTCGACCTGAAATTTTTTTTGAACCTTTGGCCCAAATTAATAAAATCGTATCAATTTGTATCGATATTTTTAAGGATATAAACGAATACGTATTGTATTATAAGATACATATCAATGTATCCATTAAAGTCATATCTTTCATTGGCAGCGTACATACAATTAACAATAAATGCTAACAGACTCGGCCAAGGGATGTAATGAAAACACGTATAGCATTCTTGGTTATTCAATTTGAACACGAAATAGATGGTTGCTAACAAGTCTTTGTCAGCCGATAATTATTGAGAAAATTCAATGAAAATGAAAACACTAACATTGTCAAGAGGTAAGCCACTGCCAGTCTTTTTCATATATGGCTTATAACATTAAACCCTAAACTATAATTTATCTTATTGAGTAATTAATTCAAAAATGGTCATATGAATTAGATAAATAATCATAACAAGTAAGATATACTTTTCAACTCTTGTAAAATGGTACATTTCACGTAATATTATTTCATATGAAATTTTTTAAATTGCAACTTTGAATTGTGAACTTAAAATGAACCACGACATTATTTGTTTGATTATCTTGTAAATGCTTTTTATTGAGAAAACAAACGGTACAGCTCATCCATAAGAAAATTCAATGAAATAAAATTCAATAATACTATTTTTTCCACATTTTATCCCAAATTTTATATCCTAAGTGATGTGTTTTATGTCATTAACATGTAAATAAGTGATATGTATTGAATGAAATGACAATACCAATAAAATGACACATTATTTCTGATACAAATTTTGGAATAAATATTTGAATAAAATTATATGCACATAACACATATTTATGCATTAATCTTCTATGATACTAAACTCCAAAATGAAAACGCAAAGAAACTTCTAATGGTGCACATTTTATATTATTCACAAGCTTTATTGACTTGGATAGATGGGTTCACCCTATAAATTTGTAGTTATATCAACTAATCAAATTATTTTGATCAGATATTTTACACCCTTTGTAACATGGCTTAAAATAAATAACTTAGAGATCGAAAAGTTATTATCTATTGTCCACTCAAATTAATCTTATAACCCATATAGATAATAATTGTTTTGATACCAAGAAATCAAAGAAATTCTTGCTTTCCAATTGGCCTATATGACCTAAAATTGAAACCTGATTTATATGCCATTATATTCTACTCCTATAGGTGCTGCAACTAAACCAATTTTTCAGATGGAGAATTGTTCGATAAACCTTCATTGTTGAGCAGAAATGCAGAATTCCAGCTTCAGTTTTCAGACTTGTTCAGAATTCAAGTTTCAGTTTAGAGATCCAGCTCCAGTGTTTTTCTGTTTATAGATTGAGGTGCATTTTTTATGGGATAAAGCTATTTGTGCAAAGAAAATTTGTACAAAATGAGTGACATATAATAGAGTGTTACCTGATATAAGGGTTCATATAACATTAATATAACAGTAAGTTACACAGATTTCAATACTATATGTTACACTTTATAACATGTTATGTCATTATGTACAAACTCTCTTTATATAAGAGTTTGCACAAATATCATTACCCTTTTTATGTTATTAAAAGAAAAGCAAATTCGCTGCGGTTTGTCTTCCTGCTACTACGGTCATATTAAAGTTCCCGCCAGCTCTCTCTATGTTAAGTATTCTGGTTTTTCTTGTAAAGCTTTTCTAGATTTTTCAAGTGTGAGAACTTTATCCGTTGTTTTTCTCTGAATCTAGAAGTTTCTTTTAAAATCTTTCATGACATCATAGTTACTCCAATTTTTCCGCTTTAAGCCGAATTAGAACTACTTGGTCCAACATTCAGTTGTCATAGTTGAGGGATATATATGGGTCTAAGTGATTAACCCAAATAGACTTGGACCCAAATAAGTTTATCATTCAACAATTTACTAAAGAATGGATTTATTGACATGATGGCATCCCACTTATGATTAAAAAAGTCCCACTTTTTTTTTTTCTTTTTTTTTTTTTTTTAATAACGTGACAAACTTATACATATCTTACATTATTAAAATTAACTTTAATTTATTATTCTTTAAAAGTACTTTTGACACTCCATTACTATCTCATATAGACTAATTTTTTTATAATGTTATTCAAATCATTCTTAAAGCAAAACAATAGTTTACTAGAGGAAAAAGATTAGCAATATGATATATCTTGTTACAAGCAATACAAAATTGTAAGTTTTTAATTGCTTCGCATATAAATTTTTTGTTATTTGTTTCTTTTGAGTATTGGTAACTATTTAATCTATATATATATATATATATATATTTGTTTTGTTTAACTGTATTATGTTATTGAAATTATTTGCAAGGATTTTTTTTAGCTTTAATTTTTTTCTGAACTTTCAATCAAGTTGACGGCCAGATCTGACCGTAGATCTGGCCTTTTCCGGCCAGATCCACCGTGGATCTGGCCGGAAAAGGCCATAGCGACGCATGACCGACAAGATCCAACCGGTCATGCGCCCATACAGCGACTCCGGCCACCTCTGGTGGTGGTCGCCGGCTGGGGGTGTTTGAGGGTGGGTTAGGGGTATTTTTGTTAACTTTTAATGTTTTATTATAGGGGGTATTTTGTAAAAAAACAAACAACATCGTAATACCCGCCCAATTCAACTTTTTTTTAACTTTTTTCAAAAAAATTTTTCCAAAACCCCCAAATTTTGAACCAAACGGAGCCAATAATTATATGTATATTACCAAAAAATATATGTTATGTTACATTAAAGGTTTGATGAAATAAAATATTTATCAAAGTTGTTTGGGACAATGATTTATACTTCAGAGTTATTACCACATATTTTACCATAAGAGTATGTAATAACTCGCTAGCATAGACACCTTCTTGTTGAAACCAAAATATTTTTAGCTTCTCAAGCATGTTTAGAGCTTTATGGCACGAAACTTTTTTAATTTCCGTACTATTATCCTTAGGATTATTTCCTTTATCTTTTTGTCTAATTGCAGCAATGATTTCTTCTTCGGTTAAAGCATACTCGATTTGTTGCTCATTTGGATGATCGAAGAAGACATTAATATCTATTCGATTAGTGTAGTGAAGTTGTTGAATCTAATCACTCAATTTGCAATAACTCTTTTATTCTCCTAGTTCACTTCATTTGTAACTTGCAATTCATCGACATCGAAGTCCTAATTTTGTAATGCTTAAAATCATTGACAATTGTCTATGACTTCACATCAATTGACCATGCATCAACTACATTTATAGTTCCATCAATGACACTTATCTTTGTTGGTTCCAAGATAAGATCTTCTATCCGTTTCAAAAGTAGACAATTGGAATACTGAATTGAAATCTTAAAACTACTAAAATATAAATTGAAATCCTAATACTTTACTATTAAAACATGAATTTTAAAATAAGAAATCAAAACAATAATTTTTGTAACAACATCTCCATTAAATTATAACCTCCTCATACTAATAAAATTAGTCGGCCCTATCATTATGACTATGAAAAAGTTTTACTGTATAATGGTCATTTGATATATTAAAGACAAATTTATAATAATTTTTTCAATTATTGATCAAATAGAAAACAATAACATTACATGTACATACAAAAAGTGATTGATTTTTTGTATTTACTTTTCCATTCATCTCTTGTTACTTCATTTTGTACAAAATTTTTACATCCGACATTATTGATAAACGCCAATATTGGTAGGACCTACACTTGAAGTTTGCCGTAAAGACAATTTATTATTCAAAAAGTTTAAAAATGACAAATACCCACTTTTCATCCAGATATGTTATTGAATTCCGTCACATCAACTATTTATGGGGATATAAATTACCAATTTTTCCCTGTATGGCAGGAAAAAATTTAAACATATTGGGTAGGAACTTGTCGTTAGATTATACATTGGGTGTGGGAACTAACAGATCTAAACATTTCGAATTCACTAACAGATCTAAACATTTCTGCAGATTATACATTTGAGTCTTTTGTATTGAATTCAAGAGTCTTTCAAATTCACTAACAAATTATACAACCCCAAACTAAAACTGAAACATTTCTGGACAAAGATAAACCTAAAACATGCAAGAGTCTTTTGTATTGAAATTCTCCTGAGATACAAAGAACAACAACAAGAACAATGAATTCAATACAGCAAAATGTGTTAACATTCCAAAGATACAAAGAAAGCGGAAGCACTTTGCAAAATGCTTCTGTCACCAACTCTTCATTGTTCTCAAAACAAACCTAAAACAGGCAAAAACACCCAAAACAATCCTACATCTCAAGCCATTCTCAAAACAAATATAAAACATGCACCAACTAAAAGTTCTTAAGAAGGAAGAAGGTGAGATTGTGGAAGTTTGTTGCCCACCTGAAAGTTCCAATAAAATTTGATTACAACCTAGTTGGTACTATAAATTAATTATGTAAGAAGAGGTTAATATAAGTAAATAAATCTTACATTGTCTCCCTGTTCTATAGCCCCACAAATGATAATGGTACAGAACCAACGAGTCCTGAACTTGCAACACATTCCTTACCAAGGAAGTAGCATGCAAGTGTTTTTAAAGTAAATAACAAAGTGACACATTTTAACAAAATGAGAAAACAGTAAGCAAATAACTTCAACAAAAGGGCAACATCTCCCTTAGAAAAGACCATCATTCATTGATAATTTCATTGAGGACTAAGTCTTGAACATTAGCAATAAACCTAAATTTAAAAAAAAAAAAAAGCCGTGTAACAGTTGTCTATACCTTATAACAAAGCAAAAAGAACCCTATTATATGTGCTATTCACCCATATTGTTTGTGCCCAAATCCAACCCAAAATACAATTTGCATATCAACACTTACATTTTACTGCTGCAAACAAAAAAAAATTCTACTGCTACACAAAAAAAAATTCTACTACTGCACACAAAAAAATCCCGGGCATTACTAACTTGTTTGACCTAATAATAGGAGTAAGAATAATGTTAGGGCAGCAAAAAATGAATTGTCATGAACAATAAACTGTTTGAAACAGTGATGAATACCTCTTGAACTTGAAGCTAATGATACCCTAGACATTTGAGTTGAAGTAGGCATTGAAGATGCTACAATCCGAGCTGCTAAAGATGCTGCAGTCATTGTGGGTACAAAGGTTCTCTGCAAAATGAAAAATGGCAAATAATATTAGTTAGATATTCTGCAAAAATAATATTGATAAAATGAAGAAATTAATGATACCTTCTGTTTTTTCCTTTTATTCATAGTTGTTGGATTATTCTTGAAAGATCTCTTGTCATGCTCGATGACCTTACAAATACTACAACTAAGTGTAGAAACTTTTTTGGTTTTCGGTTCTTTAGTTGGATCTCTTCTTCCATCTTTGGTGGTCTGCCACTCTTGACATGCTTGTATGGTGGTCAAATATATTCATCACTGACCTCTAGCCAACTAGTTTTGTTTGGGATAGGGTGGATAATATATGCATAAGTTTACATGTACATTGGAATTCTTAGCTTTTGATCCACATGCTCTTCAAAGTTGGAAACGTTCATGTGTAACAAACAACTAACAACATGTACACACGGAATTCTAGAGATCGGCCACATATCACAATCACACACTTGGTTCCCCAAGACTAGTACATGTTTTCTACCTGGCATCACATTTTGATCAGTTACTTCAAACTCATCAGATCCAAGGCAAACAACAATAAAATTTCTAGTTGACTCAATCAACTTGTTAATCTTTATGCGAACCGCTGAGGGAAAAGTACCCACTCAGTACCAGCTTCAACCCTACATAACAACCTCTTCATTAGCCTACATCGGTAAAGCTCTAGTAAACTAAGTATGGGTAGTTCCCTATCCTCACCCAACCATGAATTGAAACATTCACTCATGTTGTTGGTTATGTGATCTAAGTTAGCACAGGGTCAAAGGCATGCCTTGACCATTGGTTAGGTTCATTCTCAAGTATCCACTTGTATGCATCTTCATCAACATCCTTTACCTTACCCATGGCCTCAACAAATTCTGCCCTCTTTGAAGCTCTACTCACTGCCTAGAACAATTTCCTAACATGTACCCCCAGAAAATTCTTTCTGAAATTGGCATACACATGCCAAGCATAGAACCTACTGCTTGCATTTGGCCAATGAGCTTCTAATGCATTTAAAATACCTTTCTGTCTGTCAGTCATGAATGTGAGAAAAATTAAATCCCTTAAAAAAATCATGTTATACGCATTTTATTTTGTCAACTTGGTCATTCAAACTAGTGCACAATCTATTTAGGTTCGGTTTAAAGGTGGTCACAACAAAATCGCAGTGATCACAATATGTCTGGCAGATTTTATTTTAATATTCATGCATATCGCACATGCCTTAATTAAACATGATTATATTTCTGGTTGTGGAAAGATTTTTTGGGGACATTATATATTATGTGAGCTGGAAAAGATTTTATTTAATTATGATTTCAAGAATCCTTTTCCTAAAAGAAGATTATGATTTCAAGAATTCTTTTCTTATAAGGAGATTATAGATTAAAGAATTCTTTCCAATAAAGGAGTCTGGTAGATTTTATTTTAATATTCATGCATATTGCACTTGCCTTAATTAAACATGATTATATTTCCAGTTGTGGAAAAAAAATTTGTGGACATTAAATATTATGTGAGCTAGAAAATATTTTATTTAATTATGATTTCAAGAATCATTTTCTTAAAAGAAGGTTATGATTTCAAGAATTCTTTTCTTATAAGGAGATTATAGATTAAAGAATCATTTCCAATAAAGAAGTCTAGGATCTCAAGAATCCTTTCCAAAGCAGGTTTGGTTTCTTGCTTTTCTTTTCAACGTCACTCAAGTATAAATAATCCTTTTATTATTGTGACCTTTTTAAAAGAAAGCCATATTATTTACCTCAATTATTCTCTGAATATTTTCTTTGAGGTTGTTTAGTTTTTGTAGGTTTCCAATATGCTTTGGTAGGCTTTGAATTACCGTGTTTTATCTGTCACTTGCATGAGTTAATTTTGGAACGTTGTTCCGTGTTGAGTTCTAGACGTGTTCAAGCTGCTGCTACCAAAGTAATTCGTCATTGTTGAAACTTGAGAGGAGCTCAAGTGTGACTTGGTGGTCCTATGGGGGAGAAGCTAGACTATGAAGGTTTGAGGTTCAACCAAAGAGTGAAGATCGAAGTGTTGTCCAAACAGGGAGTTTTTACAACTGATACTTATTCTTGTCTTTGCAATTGAACACATAATTATTTCATAGTGGATTAGCTTCTTCTGGACTTGGTCCCATGGATGTAGGCATGTTGCCGAACCATGTAAAATTGAGATGTGTGCTTTATTTTATGTCGTGGATGGTTTATATGTTTAATCATTAGTTTAGCAACTCATTAAGCACAACGTGAACAAGTAATCTTAATTCTGCATAAGGTTTAATCAACATGATAAGGGTTTAAAACTTTTAATTGGTATCAGAGCGTATTCTGAAGAGTTATTTCAGTAGGTCCTTGCTTGTTTTTTTGTGCTTAAATCTTGATTTGGTGGCTATTGCTTTTTTGCTTTTATTTTGCCTTTTTTTTTACAATTTTCTCGCTATAGATCTCATGTGTCCACATCTATGTTCTGTGTGACCATATCAGTTTTGTGTGATGGCCTTTGTTGTTTTTTTTACTGAAGAAGGGTATACCAATAGACCACCTTTGTTAGAGGGAACCAATTTAGCTTCTTGGAGACCTAGGATGCGTGCCTTTTTGAAATCCATTGATTAGAGGGCTTGGAGGGCTTGTACTATTGGTTGGAAAGATCCTAAAGTTGAAGAAGCAAGTGGAAGCAAAGGAAAAGCCATAGATCAATGGACTAAGGTTGAGTTAGAAGAGTCCAATTTTAACTCAAAAGCTCTTCATGCTATTTTTAATGCTGTTAGTATTAATCAAATGAAAAATATAGCAAACTATGAAACGGCTAAGGATGCATGGGATAGACTCCAAGTAAAAAATGAAGGAACATACATTATGAAAAAGACTAGGCTTAGAAGATTAATAACTGACTATGAAAATCTTGTTATGCATGATAATGAAACTATCTCTGATTTTCATTGTAGATTGTGTGATGTTACAAATGAATGTTTTACTTTGGGAAAAATATATACTGATGTTGAACTTGTCAGGAAAGTGTTGTGCTATTTACCCAAGAGATTCATGTCCAAGGCCACCCCTATTAAGAATGTCGTGACCTTGATGAGATGCAGCTGTATGAATTAATTGGATCCTTGCAAACCTTTGAGGTAAACGTGAAATGATGGGATAAGAAATCAGGTAAAGGACTTGCATTGAAACATGAGGTAATCTTTGAATCCCTTGTTTATGTTGATTCAAGTGACATTGATGATGATGAGTGTGCTTTGCTTGCTAAAAATTTTGCAAAGTTCTTGAAGAAGAATATGAGAAAACAGAGTGAGGGCAAAAAGGGAAAACGACCCTTTGTGAAAAAGTTTGTTGATCAAACTAGTCAGGAACGCTTCTCGAAATGTTTTTTGAGAGATTATGAAAAGAAAAGCAAGGGTATAAAATTCTTTGAGTTGAGGGGTATGGTCATATTCAGTCTGAGTATGCCAACACTCTAAAGAAAAAGGGTAAAGCTATGGTTGCCACCCTAAGTGAGAGTGACAACAATGAGAGTGGAGGTGATGACTCTGATGAAGATGAAAATTACTTGGCCTTTGTAGTGAACCAAGAGGACAGTGATAGTGTGTCATCAAATGACTCATGTGATGTCTACAAAGAGCAACAAGAGGCTTATGACAAGATGTATGAGTCATGGTAAAAGTATCAAGAAGATTAAATCTCTTGAATCTGAAAAATGCATCTTGATATAAGATAAGAAAATTTCGAATGATAAGTTTAAAGTCTTAACTTTCTAATTTGTCTAACAAAGAAATATTGTTAAATCAAGCTTTAAATGAACTAACTGAGGCTAAGGCCATTGTTGAGAGGTTAAATGCAGGTTCATACAAGCTGGATGAAGTTCTTGCACAAAGGAAGACTTTCGGTGATAAAGCAGGTCTGGGTTTTTCTTCTAGTACGAGCACCTCCAAACCCAATGTGACCACTTTTGTTAAAGCATCTGAATCAGTCTCAAAAGCTATTGCTGAACTGTGTGAGTAGATTTCGAAGGTAAAAATTTCATACCAATGTGTTATTTTGGTCACAAGAAAGGACACATCACACCAAATTGCTTTAAACTAATTTCGCATTTAAAAAGATGCATTGGAAATCATGAGTTTTGTTCTTAAAGTCACCACATTACTCTCTCAAGTCACCACACTAGAATATTTTTTTCCAAAAACAGAAAAGTGTGGAGACCTAAGTTAGGTGCTAATTGTCTAGTTATTCATACTTCATTACTTGCTTATCAAAATGACCAATGGTACTTTGACAGTGGTTGTTCAAGACACATGACAGGTAACAAATCTTTATTGACTAATCTTGAATTAGAGGAAGTTGGTCATGTAACATATGGAGATGGCAAAAGAGGTAAGATTCTTGGAAAAAGTTCTATTGACATTCCTGGCTTCCCAATGCTGAATGATGTGTTTTATGTTGAAGGACTTGAAGCAAATCTTATAAGCATTAGTCAAATTTGTGATAAAGATTGTATTGTGAAATTTTCAAAGAATATGTGTCAAGTCTTAAATGGTGAAGGAACTTCCTTGCTTGAAGTAAAGAGGTCTAATGATAATTGTTTTTTGTTGTCTAACAAAGTTTCTTGTTCAAGCACAAAGACAGGTTATGTTAATTTGTGGCACAAGAAGCTTGGATTCATGAAGGAAGATGAAATTGATAATATATCTACTCCTGCTGAGGTGACCAAAAGTGAAGATGATGTACACATCTTCTTCAACATTTCTGTTCAGGAAAGTTGTTTTGACATCCATTTATCAAATTTCATAGTCAAGTGAATCTCGCAACACCGAAATAAAACTTCGTCGCGGCAAGAAACATTTTGGAATTTCTGGAGTTTTTTGGAAGTTCAATCTTGTCGCGGCAAAATAGAACTTTGCCATAGTGACCATGGGTATTTGAACTTTGCCATAGCGAAGAAAATTCCTTGCCGCAGCAAGAAAGCTACTAGAGCATTTTGTGTTTTTTGCATAGGGACCAAACTGCAGTTTGTTAGAACCTTTAAAGCCAACGATTATTTTGCGCATTTAAGAGGGTAATTTAATAATTTCACCCACCCAATTCAAAATGTTTATTTTGAATGTATGCAATGTTCTTGTTTGATAATTGCATGGTGCCTAGTACATGAGCCTTAGACATTTGGTTTCTCTATTTATATTTTTGGGCTTGTTAGTAATTTTTTAAATAAATAGGACCTGCGTGTCCTGCCTCTCTCTAATATCTCTGTGTATTTCTTTTCTCATCTCACTCCCCTTGCATGTAACGTGAGGTTTCTATTTTATTGATGTAAATTAGAATAGGATTTTTATTATAAAAATCTTTGTAATGATCGTGATGAAGAAACGAAAGGAGCAATGAAGAGAATTACTTGAAGACCCAAATTTTACTTTTAAATCCTAGGTTGTCCTACCGATTCCTCTAGGCTCGAGAAAATCAGTTTTAGTGGGCCATGTACCGGCACATTTAATTTTGTTTAGAAAGCATGCTAAGGTTGAATGTTTAATAATATGTTGATCAAATGACACTCTAACAAAGCTAATAAATTGGTGAGACGTAAAATAAAACCCTCAAACAAAGGATATTAAGTCACTTGAAATGCCTTCCATCACCATGACTTTAATCAAACCATTGTTCGTTGGAACCTTGTTCGCCAAAGCGAAGGGTACCTTTCTTCCAATGGGAGGCAATGTTTTAAAAACCGACCCGGGACAAAACCCGACAAGATGGCCGGGTCCCGGGTCGACCGGTTTAACCGGTTGAACCAGTTCGTTCAACCGGTGACGTCATCATGCTGACATCAGCATGATGACATCACGAAAACACTAT